CCTCCTCTGGACATGTCCAAACCACTGTCCCTCCTCTGGACATGTCCCAACCATCTCAGTGTGTCCTCTCTAACTTTATCTCCCAGTTGTTCAACCTGTGCTGTACCTCTGATGATCTCATTCCTGATCTTCTCCATCCTTGTCTCTCCTAAGGAGAACCTCAACATCTTCATTTCTGACACTTCCAGTTCTGTCTCCTGTCTTTTTGTCCATGTCTCTGTCTCCAGACCATACAACATAGCTGGTCTCACCTTTGATCTTTGCTGACACCCTTTTGTCACAAATCACTCCTGAAACTTTTCTCCATCACTCCATCCTGCCTGGACTCTCTTCTTCACCTCTTCACCACACTCCCCATGTTCCTGGACAGTGGACCCCAAGTCCTTGAAGTCCTGCACCTTTGTGACCTCTGCTCCTTGTAGCCTCACTGTTCCACCTCCTCCCTCTCATTCACACATGGACTCTGTCTTACTACGGCTGACTTTCATTCCTCTTCTTTCAGGGTCATATAAATATGTTGATATAAATTAAGATATAAATATATAAGCACATTTAAAACAAGTCTCCGTTGTGAAACAGGTCAAATGAGGACAAGACTAGGCTCACCATCTGAGGGTCGCTGGAGCGACTGACCCAGCCTGATATCAGTTTCAGTGTCTCCCTCTTCACCGTCCTCATGCTCCTGATCAGAGGCTGCTTCGTCACCATCTCACCTGCACAACATAATTAAATGCAACAGGTTGAAGTGGCCCAGTCAGAAATAAACACACACATTACAGGCTAGTCCAGTGGTTCCAACCTGGTGGGCCCCGACCCCCATGGGGGGCGCTAGAGAGCACCGGGGGGGGGGGGGGTTGCATATGTCTGCCTAGAGGTTGTAATAATGTGAATGTATTGTCTGTGTAACAAGTTTAGAAAATATGCTTTTATTTTTAATAATGTTTGAAATGTAACCAAACCCTGATGAACACTGAAGAACCCTGGTTTTGTTTGAAGAGTTTTCTGTAACTTGTTAATAGTTAAAAACTAGAATCTGTCCCGTCACTTTAAAAGTGCAGTGTTGTACGTCAGTGCGTCCAGCTGCCTGAGAACAGGCAGGAAGTTACCCACGCTCAAGGTTAAACTCACATTCATTACATGTACAACAAACGTAAGCACATGCAGTGAATGTTTGAATGTGTAAAAACACACACGAGTCAGTTTTCTGACAACAGTAGAACATTTCTCCCTGGTTTACAACAACAACATTGTTATTACTATAGTAAGATGGCGCCTGTGTTTGGCTTGGCCTCTGCAGGTTGTTTGCTTCACATGTTATTTGATCGTTATGTTTCTGTCTGGGGGCTTCCTTGTGGACATGTGACCACCACTCGCTACTGGTGATCAAGTCTGTGATGGTCAACCTTCAGCGTCATAAAAACGGAGTTATATTTCCACCACCGCTGGAACATCTCTCCTCTTTAACCTGTGGATCCGCCCCTGCTCTGGACACGCAGGTGAAGGAAGAGGGGGAACAGAGCCGGCTTCTTCGTGCTGCTCCGTCGGCTTCTGAGAAACGAGGCAGCATCCGGTGCGGCCAGGTGATTCAACCTCAGACATGTTGGTGCTGGACTAGTTCAAACGCTCCCAGAAGTTTCCCACACAGGTTGTCACCTGAAGCTGTGGCATCCAAAGTTCACCGCGGGAGGAATCCTGACTCACTGCGCAGCTTGCCACGTCATCCCGACGCCACTGTGGACCCCTCTACACCGTCAGCAGCTTTCTCCACTAAAGTGTTATTTGATACCATCAGCAGTTTTGTATCTCCCCCAGCGCCCGATGCTTCATTAACCTCAAACAACGACTGTAACTTGTTCCTCAGTTTTTTCATAAAGAAGGTGATGGACCTGAAAGCCAATATATCTCCAAGCTCCTCTACTTTTCAAGATGAGCCTCAGTGTTCTGAGTCATTTTCTTCTTTTGTTCCGATGACTTTAAACGACCTGACCTCATTAATTGACAAAATAAAACTTTCTACTTGTTCACTGGAAATATAACTCCCTCTTTGCTTGTCCAGACTCTAGCCTGAACTGGTCCAACAGTGTTGATGATAATTAACAACTCCCTGAACAAAGGGTTCGTCCCATCGTATTTTAAAACAGCAGAAGTGACCCCTCTCTTAAAGAAGCCTCTGGCTCCCTTTCCAACTTCCGTCCGTCTCTAAACTGCCTTTTCTCAGTAAATTACTTGAAAAAGTTGTAGAAACCCAACTCAGATCCTGGTTCTGTCAGTTACAGATCTCTGACCCCTCTCAGTCTGGTTTTCTAAAACACCATTCCACTGAACCTGCTCTGGTAAAAGTCCACAACGATCTGTTAATGGCTGCTGATGAAGGAAAATGCTCTGTGCTGGTCCTGTTAGATCTTAGTGCTGCCGTTGATACCGTCGACCACACAACCTTATTAAACAGACTGAAGGTTGTGGCTGGTATTTCTGGCTCAGCTTTGGACTGGCTCACATCATACCTATCTCACAGAACTTTCTGCATCCAGACGGACAGGTTCTCCTCTGATTATGCCCCCTTAACTTGTGGGGTGCCCCAAGGCTCAGTTCTGGGTCCACTTTTGTTTACCTTTTATATTATCCCACTTGCCAGCATTATTCAATCCTTTTCTGATATTTCTTATCACATTTATGCTGATGACATTCAGTTGTATTTTTCATTTAAACCACACCAGCTGGATAAACTGGCCATCCTTGTCCAATGTTTGTCCCGTATCAGTGACTGGCTTGCCAGTAACTTCCTGGTTTTAAACACCAGTAAGACAGAGACTGTGATTACAGCTCCCAGTCACCTTCACCCAAAATCAATCAGAAAATTACCTCTTTCTGCCCAGTAGCCAAATCAAAAGTAAAAAACCTAGGAGTCACAGCTGACTCATCATTAAGCTTTGAGTCTCACATTAGAGATATTTCCTGTTCTTGTTTCTTTCATTTAAGAAACATTTCTAAAATACGACCTTTGGTCTCCAGAGTTGACCTTGAGAAAATTATTCACACTTTTGTGTCATCGCGTCTGGACGACTGTGATGTCCTTTTTACCTGCCTGGACAAGTCTTCAGTCTCACGTCTACAAGTGAAACAGAACGCAGCTGAAAACTAAAGGGGACGGGGTCTTTCAGCCAGTGGCCCCCAGGCTGTGGACCAGTTTGACCTGCAGCTTCGTTCTGCTGACTCTGTGGAGGTTTTTAAAAAGAAACTGAAAACACTTTTAGTCTCTCAGGCTTTTATGTCATGATTTTATTCTGCTTCTTGTAGTTCTTAGGCTTGTTTTATTCTTTGTATATTTTAGTGTTGATTTTTATTGTACAGCACTTTGTGATTTCATGTCTGTGATAAGCGCTCTATAAATAAACTTTACTTACTATTGGTGAAAGTTGGGAATACTTTCAGGAACAAGTTGGTAAAAAGTTCCCCTGACATGAAAAAGCCTTTGAAAGAGCAGGTAGTGATGTCACAGAGCTACAGAAGCATCTTTTGAGTGTTCACTTTTAATTGTTAAAGCTAAAAATCTGCACTATATTGGAGAAACCTTCTGAAACTGACCTGCCTGAAAATTACAGAGCTGATGTGTGACAGGGCTCATGCAGTGGATAAAACTAAAACTGCCCCGCTCTCCAACACTGTCAGAGTTTCATTACAGTCATTTCTTTGTTGTTTATCGTCATTTCTTTGTTGTTTATCATCATTTCTTTATTGTTTATCGTCATTTCTTTGTTGTTTATCGTCATTTCTTTGTTGTTTATCGTCATTTCTTTGTTGTTTATCGTCATTTCTTTATTGTTTATCGTCATTTCTTTGTTGTTTATCGTCATTTCTTTATTGTTATATTGTCCAGGACATAATGGATAAAATAGCTGAAAATGGTAAACATCAGCTGCATGACAGGATCAGGAAGAGAACATGACAAAACTACAATTACTGTTAAGTTTACTCTGTTGTTAGTTTTTAAAGAAAAGTCATGCGAGTAATTCTCAAAACAGTGTTCTGGTTATTTCTCTTGTACAACTACCAGTTTATAACTTTTACAAATAAAAGTTTCTAACTATTTACTTTATTCTTCTATTATTTACTTTATATTTAACTACTATTACATATAATATTAATTATAATATTGACTATAAAGAGATTAATCTGATCGAGTCTTTTGGGAGAGGGGAGCAGTGAGGGGTTGGGGGGTCTCAGATCAGCTAGGAAGTAAAGGGGGGGTCCTTTGAGGAACCACTGGTCAAATGAAGAGAAAACAAGAGAGGGCAGAAGCTGACCGTTGGTCTGGACGGCTGAGGAGATGTTTTCACTGAGACATTTGTAGACGTTCAGCATGTCCAGGTAGATCCGACCCAGCTGGACCACAAATGGATGACCCACAGCTTTACAGGCTCTGACGTTAGTTTTCAGGATGCTCCCCAGCTGACGCACAGTCTCTGCATCCTTCAGGATGTCCACATTCTGTGGAAAACAACCCATGAACGAGTCAGAGGAACGAGACGTTTGAAGGAACAGCAGGAGACATCTGGCAAGACATCAGGTTCTAACGTTTACTGCTGGATTCACCTTTGTAGCTTGTTGGATGATGCTGTCCCACACCTGATTAGGCAGCAGCATATACTTCTCTATCAGAAGCTCTTGAACTGCCTGGTCTGTCTGAGCTCCAATCATGTAACCGACTGCCTCGTAAAATGTGTGGACCTGCCGTCAGAACAGAGAACTTGATGAACGTCGACTGAAGAACAAACACAAACAAACAGTCTCGTGAAATGTTTCAGACATGACCGACCTGCTGAGGCTGCAGGTCACAGATGATCGTGTTAATGTTGTTGAGTATCTCGTCGATGAAGGGCATCACCTCTCCCACCTGAACCTGGACAAAATGACGGCGACATTTCTGTGCAATCTTGATGAAGGTGTCACAAGCCATGTCCTGCACACCATCGTGGGTTTCTGAGGAATCAAACGAGGATGGAAGGAGTTTAGGCCACACCACATGGAAACCATACATTATATATTATATACATTATACATTTGTTAGCAGTCATTTCAGAACAGAGTGTGCAGGTCGCATCGGGAGTCCTCGATGTTTCTTACCATGCATAAACTCAAACAGCTTGTTGACGACGGTCTTCAGGAACTTCCAGTGGGCTCGCAGGAACCGAGGATACTGTCCCACAATGTACATGATGTTGGACGCTATTATAGCCTTGTTGTCTTTACCCCTTTTCTGCTCACATAGGCCGAGCAGGTCCTGCAAATAAACAGTTTACTTTGTACGCCTGATGTCCACAACAGTTACAAATAAATAACTGCTAAAAAAGCCAGGTGGTCACAATGACAAGAAGTTACAGGTTTGTGTCAGAGATTTACTTGGGAGAACGTGGTTTCCTGAGCCTCACCTTGATGACCGTAACCAGGAACCTCTTCTCGTCCTCCTCGTGCATCGCCCCGCTGATGGAACCGATGGCCCAGCACAGCATGTTCAGGTTCCTCCACGACCACTCCGTGCCATTCACCTGGTTGTGGAGCTTCTCTGTCATGATGCGTTCAGTGTCCGCATAGTCCAGATGTGTCAGATAGACTGCGAGGGTGCAGAGACACACAGGAACGATGACACACCTGAACTCAACAACTGAACGTACCCCCTCTGAGGACATGGAGCCTAAAATTCATTTCAACCATCACACAAGTCATCCTCGCTGGGACCGCAGCAGGAAGAGCAGCCAGACACAGAAACGGAGAAAACAACTGTAAAATAGTTCAAAGACTCCGTAGTCTCTTAAAAAGGTTTCACACACTGTTTATTTTCTGGGCCTTATATGCAAAATTTTTACTTAATTTTACTTTATTTTACTTTACTACTATTCGCACCTTATGTCGAAGCAAATTCCTAGTTTGTGAACCTTGTTCATTGACATGGCGATAATAAACTGATTCTGAAATGTTTTAATTGTACCATTTTAATAATTGACATCTTGCTAAAAGACAATCCAGTCGCCGACACGTGGTTTAGATGAAGTGTGGGTTTATCAAACGTCACAACGTCGTACAATAATAATGCACATGACCGCTTTATGCTAAAGTTGTGCATGTAGCAACAAGTGCTGACTCACCAAGAGTCTCCCTCATGTTCTTGTACAGGTTGATGGCATCTGTATCCTTCATGAACTCTCTGACCACCTCCCCCTGGTCATTCTCCACCACCAGCACCTCCTCTGGTTTGGCCATGCGGCTCACCATCAGCAAACGCACCTGAGGGAGGAGTCGGACATCAGTCTGAGCAAAGACCCAGCAAGCCTCGGACAATTTACATTTATACACTAAACACTGAGTTTGTTAACAAGAACAAGAGAACTGTGGCCTTTTCTGCTGGGCCACTGCTGTCCAACACCGCCTGCTCAATCCAAACTGGAATTGTTGCCTCACCTGGGAAAGGACGGGCAGGTAGAGATGTCTTCGAGGCGGAACATCCGACAGCAGCGGGGTGCTGGAAGTGGAGAACGGGCTCTCCCTGTAGAGCTCTGCTGCCAAGTGGTTCCAGTATTCAAGACATATCTTGAAGATCTCCGTCTCCTCCACCTCCGACACCAGCAGCATGTAGTGCAGGGCCTTGGGACACGACAGTGACATCAAACTACTCTGTGTACTGGGACCAGTAACCCATCCATTTAGTATTGTATGCATGCTCCAGGTTGCACCCATCAACATTTGAACAGAACTGACGATCAAGAAACTAATGTCCACTTAATTGCAATTAGCTGCAGTGAAACTCGTAATTCTTACATTATAATGTTATTATTTCACATGTACCGACAACTATTCAGATATTTTAGGTGAACCTGACTTTAGTTTTAAGTACGTTAAAAAGTTTGGTCTATAATTTAGTCACTTTGGGTCTAATGACAGACGTTCCACACCAACTTGTTTCTGTGAAATCTTAATAGAGGAAAGAACATTTCTCTCCCTTCTGACGGACGTTTATCAAATGAGAACACCCCCAAAGGATTTTACAGAAACGGAGTGTGAAGACGTGTCTGACCAGGTCGAGTCAGATCCTCTGGACAGATTCTTCTTGTTGAAACGTCCTGATGCTGCTCAACGATCCAGGTAGAACAATCTAGAAGTTCAATCTGCTCCTCTGGATGTTCAAATAACAAAAAGTAAAAAAATGTAGAAACGTTTCGTCTCTCATCCAGAAGACTTCCTCAGTCTGAGGTGCTGTATTCAGCTCAGTCTCTTAAATAGCACCTTCTCAGAGTGGATCAACCAGTTTGCTGCTGACAACCAGAACCAGCTGATCACATGCTCAAGAAGGACCATCAGCCTAACAATGGATCATTAGCACCTGATGGCTGTTTACTATTCACAGAGGGCTGAGTGATACTAGCAATCACAGCATTGTAAGAGGGGGACAGTTGAACCTGGAGGCTCCACCCCTGTTTAATGATGGACAGGTTCTTTAAACAAAGATGGCCTCCATGCTGTCACTGCTAGTTTCACTCAGCCCTCTGAGCAGCAAGCAGCCATCAGGGCACTAACGATCATTAGGCTGATGGTCCTCCTTGATCACGTGAACAGCTGGTTCTGGATGTCACCATCAAACTGGTTGATCCACTACGAGAAGGTGCTGTTTATAAGACTGAGTTTGTTGCAGCTCCTCAGACTATCAAGAAGAAGACTCCGTCCAGAGGACCTGACTCAACCTTGTTAGATGGATCCACCTGGATTAATGAGCAGCTTCAGGACGTCTGAAAGATGTGTCATCTTCTGACGGACGTGTTGCTTTACGTGTGAACGTCTCGCTTGTTTCTGACAAACAGAAAATTCTCTGCCATCCTCCTACCTCCATGAGCGTTTCACGCAGGTTGGGCCTCTTCTCAATGAGCTGCCCATGTTCTTTGAGGAACGTGCACAGAAACAAACTCAGGTTCTGAATGAAATTCTGCTCGTCGTCCTTCCCGTTGGCGTAGGCCACTTTGATGTTTGTGTTCAACGGCAGCATCTAAGCAAACAAGACATTAAACTCCACGACTTGAAGAGCCAACAAGTGTTGGCCTACATGGTCTCGGCACAGTACCTGTTTGAGCTGGCTCATGGTGAGGGTGAACAGGCTGACGAACTGCTCCTCATACTGGTTGACGCTCACTCCAGCAATCTCTGTCAGACATTTCAGTGTCACGTTGCGAAACATGGGCACGTTCAAGAACTGAAAGAAAACATGGAACAGGACTGAGCTGGAGCTTCACTCTGAAAACCTGCAGGGAACTTGCTTTTGCCAACATGTCGTAATCCACATGAACAGAAATGTCACAGGAAGTTTATGAACTTGCACATTCACCGTCTGTTTAGTTTTGCTGCGTCACTTCACCAGTTTGTTTCCTTGTTAGTATTGACTGGTTTACCTTGTAGACCAGGGTGCTGATGAGTTTAGTCTCAAAGATGTATCCCAAAGGTATCCAGTTGAGGAAACGCAGGAGCGTCTCCAGAGTGGCATGAACAAGCGGTGCATTCTGGGAGTTCTCCTACAGTCACCAAGATGAACACATTTGAGAACGCATGCTGGCACTTCTTGAGAATACAGGAACATGGTGAGGAGAGAGCTATTGGCCTGGTGAGAACAGTCTTACCATCACAAACTGGCACAGCTGGAATATCTGGGAGAACTCATTGCACATGCTAAAAGATCAAAAACAACGGGCCGTTAGTGACAGCAGGGCTCGTCTGAAAATGTTCTCAGAACGGATTTAAAGTGTGAACACAAACTTTCATGTGATGGACAACGGAAATATTCAGATGCCTTGAAAACGGAACAATTCAAAACCAACATTTCTTTATGGAATACATTTTGTCTGCCGTCCTAAACAAGTTTCAGGCTAAGATTTGGTGCCATCGACGAGTGCACGTGTTGGGGATGACGTGAGTGGTAGTCAATTCAAGGCCTCAGTACACTCGGGCGTACGTCAGACCACACGTACCGGAAGAGAGTCGAAGCGGCCGCCCGCAGGGCGTGTCCGTGCAAAGCTCCGTTCTTATGACCGCGTACGTGCACTCTGTGTCGCACAATGAACTGCTCAGCGACGGACTGTTTTGTATGAAACACCAATGTATTAAATTCTCCTTCTTCATCCCTGGTCTGGTTTAATGGCCTTTTTTGTTTTTTTTCCCCCCCAGAGGCAGTGATCTCTTCCTCCTCCTCCATTCCAGCGTGGCGGAGGGAGGGTCTGGAGATTTCCTGGCTGGTCAGTCTGATGTGTGGGCTGCAGGGCCAGCACTCTCCGTTTTCTTTTTAGAACTTTTTAATAACAACATACTGTATTAACACAGAAAACCGCTGCAGTTGGGGCTGCCAGCTCTCGTTTTGTTTTTTGTGACCTGTCAATCAATCCAGCTGGTCTGCAGCCGCTCAGGGTGGACGCTCGAGTATGAAGTCTCAACCCTCTGCAGACAGTGCACATCGAGTCCGCACGGAACAAGGTCTGCCCGAGTATACTGGGACCTTTAGTGTTTCCTAAGGTTTACTAGCTGTGTCAGCTATCTTGTATCAGGTTGACTAAAAGGGCAATCAGCTGTAGTTGTTCATCCTGTAGTTGTTCATCCTGTAGTTGTTCATCCT